TATATGTTATGCGTCATTTTTGTATTTTGTCAATAATTAATTGACGTAAGTTATAGTTTAATTTTCACCGATCGAAAAATAACCCGAGTCAATTTTTTAATGCAGATTCTTAATATTTTAATGCAGATTCTTAATATACATAATGCAGATCATGACAGACTTATGTATGATAACTGATTAATAATTACGTATTATATTAAATTAATAAATAAGAAAAATAAATCGAATTCAAATACCTTTTTTTATTATTATATTTCAAGTGTATCTTTTATCGTCATATATTTCTTTTCAATAAATTAATTCATTTGCTTTCTTTTTTATTATATATTTCACTATTTTTTTATTGGTACTTATTATGGATTCCCAAATATATAGTTTTTTAACTCATGAAACATTTGATCGAATACTAGAAAATTTTATTAATCAACGAAAAAACAAAAGAAGTTTAATGGATAGAGCTCGTTATGATCAGTGTTTGGATGTTTTAAAAAATCCAAACTTTCAATATAACCCAACATTCAAGTATTGGGTGACTCATACATTTAAGATTGTCCGTATTGGTACAATAGAGGAACTTCATATAATTAAACAAGGCAGAGTTAACTTGGGAACACAAGTCTGTGCTATTGAAAATTTCTATGAGATAATTTGCTCTGCCCATCTGGAAACTGTGCATGGTGGTCAAGAAAAAACTTGAAAAAAAGTAATTATTTATTTTTTTATTTTTTTATTTTATTATTATTATTTTTTAATAAAAAGTATTTTTTTTAAATTACTGTATTAGATCCGAGTTAGATATTGTTATATTCCACAACAATTAGTTGAAAATGCAATACATGAGTGCAAGGTGTGTGTAACTCGACGAGCTTCTAAGAGAATTCCACCAATACGTCCTATTGTCTCTGAGGGTTTTTTAAATCATATTCAGGTAAAAAAAAATTAATTCTATATAAAGAGTATTATTTTGAATAAATTTTTATTTTTTATATAATAAAAAAAAATTAGCTTGATACGATTGATATGTCAGCAATTCCAGATGGAAGATATCACTATATATTTCATGCACGAGATCACTTTACACGTTTTTCTTATGCTGAACCAGCACAACACAAATCAGCACAAGAAGCTGCTTTATTTTTTAGAAATTTCTGTTTTCTTTATGGCCCCCAGCTATTCTTCATACTGACAATGGGGGTGAATATGTTGGAAATGATTTTAAAGAAATGTTAAATTCCAATTGGCCAACAATTAAAGTAGTTCATGGCCGTCCTAGAACTCCTCGCTGTCAAGGGCTTGTAGAAAAAGGAAATGATATTCTTCAGGTAAAATTAGGAGCATGGATGGAGGATACAGGTAGAAATGACTGGAATATTGGTTTAATGCATGTAATTTGTAAGTAAATTTATTTTTGTTATAGTTTTTCACCTTTATAGATTTATTTATTTTAATTTATTTTATACTATTTTAAAATATAGGGGCAATGAATAATCAGTATTGTTCTGCTCACAAAACAACACCCTATAATTTAGTATTCGGTCAATTACCACATAATGAAAGTAATACAGTTAATATTTTAGAAAATAATAATTATTATAATCAAGAATTGCTCTTAGAAAATTCTGAAATTAATAATAATACTAGTGAATCGGAGAACTTCAATTTGGAAAATTCTGATTCTAGATTTTCTGATTTAGAAGGCTTCATATCAACTTATTCTGATTCAACTAATTTAAATTTAGAAAATACTTATTTAGAAGATTCCGAATTCCAAATTGAGAATAGTTTTGAAACAATTATTTCAGACTCAGATGACTCTTTGGAAAATTCAATGCAGAATATTATTAATATAAGTGATACAGAGTCAATTGAATTTCCACGTCTTACTGCACAACAAAAAGAAAAATGGCGAGCTTATACTATTGAATCACCTGAATTAGTAAGAGAAGAAAGTATTGAATCACAAGAAACAATTGAGAGTGATGATGTAATTTTTTTATAATTAAAATCATAACTTGTAATTTTTAATTATTATTATACGTATACTAATCTATTTTTTATTTTTTTTAGCTAAGAATGCCATTACGCAATATTACAAATTCAATACATGAAAAACATGAATTAATTCGTCAAAATGCAATTCAAAATGTAAAAGAAAACCGTGAACTTATTAAAAACACCATGGAAATAAAGTATAAAACAAAAAGAATTTGAGTTTATGAACCTGGAGAGTTTGTAAAAATTCGAATTCCTGATATAGATAAATTAAAGTTGGATCAAAGATCATTGCCATGCAAAATTCTTCAGAAAAAGCCAAATCGGGATTCTTACCAGGTTGCATGCAAATATGGAATAGTTGACAATTGGTTTCCATTAAATGAACTTGAGCCACTTGGCACCTCGGATTATCCAGATCTTGATGTTGTTCCATTAAATATTTCAATTTCATTAAGACAAGCAGGGGCAAAACAAAATATAACACGTCCAATTCGTAATATTCAAGGACATTCAACTTCTAATAGTCAAGAATGCCCAAGTTATGATAATCAAGAACGCCCAACTCAGAATATTCCGGAACATTCATTTTCTAAGTAAGTAAAAAAAATTTATTTATATGTACGATTTTTTTTTTTTACTCTTTTATAATTATATAAATTTTATTAAAGTAGCCGTGCAAATCATGATAATAATATTGGCTCAAGCCAAAAATCTTTTCCAGATTTCTGTCGCTGTCGAAAAACAAACTGCAGTACCAAATCATGTTCTTGTCGAAAAAACAATTCAGTTTGCTCAAGAAGATGTGGATGTGTCTTACGCGGGCAATGCAAAAATAGTTAATATCGAATATTACATATAATTAAATATATTTAATCAAATATGTATGCATAAATTAGCATTCAAATAATTTTCAAATATGCTATAATAAAGTTTTTTTATTAAATTTCACCGATTGAAAAACAACGTATGTCATTTTCAAATTAAAAAATAACAGGCGTCAATTAATAATTGACGCAAATTAAAAAATGACGCATAACATATATA